CCCCCCCCCCCCCCCCCCAGTGTCGCTGGACCACCTGAGAAGCTCAGACTCTTCCTCCCAAATCAAACCAGTCGTCGCGTTATGCTCTGAACAAAACCTTTAAGTCTGTGCGCGTAAAACGCGGCGCACAGCGCGTCCTGCGCGTGCGGAGCACGAGCGGCAGCTCGGCCACAGGATCTGGATGAACGCGCGTGCTTCAGCGCACGGAGCAGTGAGATCACCCGCGTTATAAATATCCCCGCACCAACTAAACCTCTCCAGCCTCTGCAGCCGGGGCCGTGCCAAGCAGCGCGCGCGTGTGCGCACGCCTTTTTGTTGGTTTGTTTATTTTGGATTCATGACGTCATGCAGGAGCGCTAAGATGAGAGCGGCGGGGCAGTGACGGTCCTCTGTGGAAGAATGAATGTTCCTCTTTACCTGCTCACCGTCGCTCAGTTGATTCGCGCCGCAGCCGGAGCTCCGCGCGCGTCTTTGGAGAGCCGACTCCTGCACGAGACGGTGCGCGCGGGACGCAGGAGCTGCAGGCTCTACTGTAGGGTCGGCATCGGCTTCCATCTGCAGATTCATCCCGACGGCAGAGTGAACGGCAGCCATGAGCCCAACCAGCTGAGTGAGTCCTGCAAACCGCGCGCACAGCAGCCCCGTGCGCCCCGCTGGGAGCGCGCGCTGCACGCTCAGTCATCAGGCTGCACAGATCTGTCTCTGACAGCTGGAGCAGCCGTGATTTACACAGGAAGCGTCCTAAACTTAGGCAGCCTGAGCCGCGCGTGCGTGTGAGTCTGTCCGGGATGTCGGCAGGTAGAGTATTTGTGGAAGGAACAGGTGCAGCGATGTGTCAGCACGACTGACACCAACAATCAGCTGCAGAGAAGACAGATGCACTGATTCAGAGTTTAAAACCCTGAATGAAAACAAACAAACAAACAAACAAACAAACAAACAAACAAACAAAGATTCTGAGGAAGGTTTCTGACAGAATGTGAAGTTAAAAAGATTTAAAGCTGAGTCAGTGATCAGAGATTTGTTTTGGACTCCTTCAGCTAACTTCAGCTCTTTCAGCCACAGTGCAATCACAAGGTTCAGCTCATTGTCAGCTGAAGTTTTCTTTATGAATTATTCAGCTTTGTTTACATTTTTCATAAACAAGAGTTGAGATTTCTCAAACCCCGAACAAACTTTGCTGCTTTTACTTTAATTAACTTTTACCATTTTTTTGTCTTTATCTACTTTTTTGTGTTTCCATTAACCACTTAGCTAATTTTAGCATTTAGCTATTGTTTTGCTAATTATATTTCTTAACAACTGTTGTTGATTGGGACTTTAGTTGCTTTACTATGAATTTTAATAGCCTACATATATTTTGTTCTGTTAGTTCTATCATTTTAAGCAACTGTTTTGCTGGTTTTAGCTTTTAGCTTTTAGCCTTTAGGTGTTGTCCTGCTCATTGTAACTTTCAGCTGCTGTTCTGTTGGTGTAGTGAAGTCAGTCAGCGTGCACGTGTTGCTAACTGATTATTGTTCAGGTTTAAATCATCACAAGATAAACTAACAGCTGATTCGGTTCATTTTTTCTGAAGCTAAAGACGAACAGAGACGGGAACGTTGTGCAGGAACATTTTCCTTAAAGACGATAAAATCTGCATTTGAATTGTGAAGAAAGACGACAGGAGGAAATGTTTTCTGCTTTAATTTATTATTATTATTATTATTTTTTATTTATTTCACTCCTAAAGGGGCAAAAGCGTTGGTTGGATTTTATATGGGGAGGGGTGGTGCAGTGGTGGGAGAAGGTGGGCATGTGATCGGCATGTCACTGGGTCAACTCCCGGTACCAACAAGATCAAAGAGTGGGTGAGAAAGGCGAAACACCCACTGCCTCCACCCTCATTTGCCCCACTCTGGGCCCTTGAGCAAGGCCCTCACCCCCCACCATCTTCTCCCCTGGGCGCCCCCGACAGCAGCTCTCTGCTCCACCCAGAGGCCGTGGCAGCTCCGTGTCTGGAAGAACATCTGTCGTAAAAACAATCACCAAGGGTTCGTGTGAGGTAGCCAAAAGGCTCAACCTCTGGATGAGATTTGGACTTTGTCTTGCACCATCACACGTCTCCTCGCTCTTCTCCTGACAGATGGGTCCTCTGTGGACGTGTCTTCCTGTCAGGGTCCCTTCAGAGGACACGTCCGGTCCATGAGTCCTGCCTGATGGACCAGCAGGAGACTAAATGTCTTTTCTAACATCATCACAGCAGATCATAACTCAAAATAATAGATGTTTTTCTGCACATTTGGTCAGTGTTTGTGAAGGACGGCTGCACAGAGACGGAGTATTTACCCAAATTCTGAAAAGGTTGAGCCATTGGGTAAAATGTAAATAAAATTGCAGCGATTTAGTTATTTCAAGTGGAGCAAAACGATTAAACGTTGAAACTAAAATATTTGACCTTTTCAGGGGAAAACACTGTAGTTTTGAATTTTGTGGAGGCAACACGTCTCAGAACGATCACAGCTGAGATTTAAACCAGCAACCTTCTCATTCAGCAGCTGTTTGCCTTCATGGATCCGTTATTTTAAGCCCAAACTTTCTCACATTTCTCAGCAATGCAGAAAACATCCCGGTGTTTAATCCTGAGCTGAACCTGCAGAAGAATCAGTTTGGCGAATGTGTTTCTCGACTGAAATAAAGATAAAAAACCTCTTTTATTACCAGTTTAAAAGTGTTGCTGACGGTTGTTACTGAAACAGAAAACAAAAGGAAAGGAAAGTTCATGTTATTGTCCTTCAGTCGTTGGAGCATGCTGATTTTTATTCTTCCTTCCAGGTGTCCTGGAGCTGATTGCGATTTCTCAGGGCGTGATCGGGATCAGAGGAGTTCACAGCAACAGGTACCTGGCCATGAATAAACGAGGATGGCTCCATGCCACTGTGAGTATCCCACTGCGCCCAATTGGATCATTCTCGCCCAGTTCTGGTTCGATATAAAGCACATTTAAAAACAGCAGCTGTTACCAAAGTGCTTAACAATAAATGTCAATGGGAGTAAGTTAATGAAAAAAATAAAATAAAACCAAAAATTAATAAAAGCAACAAAAGTAACACATAAAATACACAGAACAATAAAATACTAAATCAGATCACATTGTGTTAAACGTCAGTGAATTCAGGTGTGTTTTTAGGGGAGATTTAAAAACAGGAAGTGAAGGGGCCCGTCTAATGTTGGGGTGCAGATTGTTCCAGAGTTTAGGGCCCACGACTGAAAAAGCCCCATCTTCTCTGAGCTTCAACCAAGAGCAGCAGATCAGATGATCTCAGCGCCTGATGAGGAACATATGGTTGAAGTAGATCAGAGAGAAATGAGGGTGCAAGGCCATTTAGGCACTTAAAGGTCATCAGGAGAGTTTTAAAAGCTGTTCTGTTATGTACAGGGAGCTAGTAACGGGAGGACAAAACTGGTGAAATATGCTCAAACCTGAGTTCCTGTTAAGAGTCGAGCTGCAGCATTTTGGACGAGTTGGAGACGTGAAAGGTAGACCTGACTGACCCAACATAAAGTGCGTTACAGTAGTCCAGTAAGGTAGTAATAAAGGCATGGACTATTTCTTCCACGTCAGATCTGGACATCACTGGCTTAATCTTCGCTATCTGTCTTAACTGGAAGAAGCTTTTCTGTAGAACAGAGTTGATCTGTTTATTAAACTTAAAGTCAGAGTCTAAAACCATCCCACGATTTGTAAGACTGTTATATGCTAATATACCATGCCAGCTTTATTTATAGAGCACTTTAAACACCCTCAGGACCAAAGTGCTGTACACATGATAAAACAATCATACAGTCAGATAATAAAAAAGCAATTAAAATGATATAAAGTAAACATTTCAGATGTTGTCAAAGGCCAGGGAGAAGAGATGGGTTTTAAGAAGGGAATTAAAAACGGACAGGGAAGAGTCTGATGTTCAAGGGAAGGTTGTTCCACAGTTTAGGAGCTGCCACAGCCAAAGCCCGGGCTCCTCTGGGCTTACGCTTTGTCTTGGGCACGCATGACCTAAGGGATCGGGAGGGTGTGTATGGATGTAGCAACTTGGACAGATAGGGCGGGGCAAGTCCATTAAGAGTTTTAAAAGCAAATAAAAATAATTTTAAAATGAATCCTAGAATGTACGGGCAGCCAGCGAGAGATACATGAGTCACCGATTCTTGTATAAAGTGCGTTACAATAGTCCAGCCGAGTGGTCACAAAAGTGTGAACTACTGTTTCAAAATGCCGCTGAGAAAGAATCGGCTTTACTTTAGCTGCCTCAGATGGGGAAAAAAAACCAACTCGTTTTAACAGTTCTGATGTGGTTTTCTAATTTTAGTCCAGCATTAACTTTGACCCCCAAGTTTGTAGCAGTTGATCTAATGTACTGGGCCAAGGAACCAACATTTACATTGGGAGTCTCTGTGGATCTTCCAAAGACCATCACCTCAGTCTTTCCCTCATTGAACTTTAAGAAGTTCATCCAGGTTTATGTCCCCCAGACATGAAAACACAGAGGCCAGAGAGTTAGAGTCCTTTTTCTTTAGCGGGACATATATCTGCATATCATGCACGTAACAATGAAAGGAGATCCCATATTTTCTAAAAATAGAACCAAGAGGGAGCAGGTATAGTGTGAAGAGGAGGGGGGCTAAGACTGAGCCCTGTGGAACCCCACACAAGAGAGGAGCAGAGGAGGACATGTGGTCACCAAGGCAGACACAGAAAGTACGCTATGCTGAGTAGGACTTAAACCAGTCCAGTGCTGCACTGCTGACACCCCCCATTGCTTCAAACAACAAAGTAGGATGTTATGGTCCACCGTGTCAAAAGCAGCTGATAAATCTAAAAGTAAGAGGAAAACACAGTCACCAGAGTTCGTTGCTAAACATGTTTAATTGAAAACCTTTAAAAGAGTAGATTCTGTACTGTGTGGAGATTTAAAAAATATATCATAGCTATACTGCATAGCTAATATAACAGCTAATATATGGCTGAAGAGGAACAGAGACAGTAGTAGAGCTAGGGCTAAACAAAATAACTTCAGTTTTCTGATCGTTAAAACTTAAAAAATTTGAAGTCATCCATGCCTTGATGTCATCAAGATATTTTAACAGAGGGTGAATGGAGCAAGAACTATTAGGTTTTAACGGGAGATAAATCTGACAATCATCAGCATAGTGAAAAGAACGCTGTTTGCTCAGGATAGACGCCAAAGGGAGCAGATACAATGAAAACAGAAGGGGTCCAAGAATCGAGCCCTGCGGAACTCCACAGGAAAGAGGCACTGAAGCAGATACACTATTACCAACATTAACACAAAAACTCCTGTCACTCAGATAAAAACGGAACCATTATCTTCAGCCGAGAAAGATGCGTTACTGGAATTCACTGGGTCAACGCAGATTCTTTGTTTTAAAAGCAGCAAACTTGGTCTTTTTAGGGTCTAAACGCATCATTGTGCTGATTGAACTACATCTGTCATTCAGCTCCTAAAGATTTCAGTGTTTTCAACAGATTTGCTGTTTATAAAAAGTTTTTACGAGCACTGTGAACCTGGAGCAACAGGCTTGTCCTGAAGTGGACGTGCACCACTCAGAAGATAATTCTATAAATTTGACGTTATTCGGCTGTAGCTTCTGTTCTGTTCATGCAAACACCACCTCGTGCTTTCTTTTCTGTAAAGATGATCTCCATCTTTGCTGCAAGTTATTGTTTGGACTTCTTTTTCTTCAGCTTCGACACTTTGCTGCATTCATCCCACACTCCGACCGCAGCGCGTCGTGGCGCTCTGCTGTAATCTGAAGGCCTTTAAATCCCCCTGAACGCTCAGCGAGCTTCAATCTGCCCGCAGCAGCAGCTCCACCAGCGGGCCGTGGGTCCGGCCGCTGGTCAGACACACGGACCAGTCATCTGTGGGGAAACTTGGCAGGAGAAAAGAAAGAAACGGCTCCCTGTTAGTGAGAGCAGATTAGGGCCTGTCTGCAGTGGGTGATAATACACAGAGGAGCGGACCACAAAGAAACAAGTTCAGGACACGAGCCGCTGCAGCTGCTGGTGATTCATGCTGCAGCTCTAATCGTACTTTCCTGAAGCTGTGGAGGGACGTTCATCAGCTGATTGTGCTTGTAGAGGTCAGAGCGTGAAGTGGGATTCAGTGTGATCCAGACACTGAAATATATATTTATTATTTTCTTCTTCTTTCGGCTGCTCCCTCCCACAGGGGTCACCACAGCGAACTAAGTTGAACGAAGACTTGGCCTTTGTTTTTATGTTGGATGCCCTTCCTGATGACCACAGCCCTCTGTGTGGAGCAGATGGTGGGGGTTAAGGTCTTGCTCAAGGATCCAGAGTGGGGCAAGTGAAGGTGGAGGCAGGTGTGGGTTCCCCTTTCCACTCTTTGATGTTGTTGGTCCGGGGGGTTGAACCGGCGACCTTCCGATCACTCCTCCTATCCAGTCACTGAAATACAAGACAAAGATAAAGGATCATAGTTTCAGGCTAAGATCATCTGATGTTGAGAAACAGCCACCTTGGTCAGACCTTGATGTCACGCTCAGAGTTCATGCTCTGAATGACTCTCAGCTACTACCACATGAAATCTTAGCTCAACATCTGTCAAACTGACTGAGTCGTGGCCAGTTCTGAGCTGGTTAATACGGATCAGCCGTCTCATGACCGTCATCTCGACTTCTGTTTACTCAAAAAGTTAATCAGCTGTAAATCCAACTATTATTTTCTGAAAGTTTCATGAGATATTTTGCTAACACTGCAGACAAACACACAGAAACATGCAAAAACATTTTTACCTGGAGGCAGTACCCAGCATGATGTGGTGTTTAGTTAAAGGTTTGTTGAGCTTATTCGTCCAGGACAAACAAGTTTCCACTTCTTCTGTTTCGTCTGCACGGCTCCTTGAACAACCAGGCGGAGGACGTTCTTAAAGAACGTAAAGGAACCTGGTTAGACTTGAACCTGGTTAGACTTGAACCTGGTTAGACT